ATGTAACTTAAACTCAATCAATCCTTTGTAAACTAATTTTTTAAATTCAATAAACATTATTACAAATATTTTAATCTGTGTAGACATGTTAACGTAAACGCGTCACGAAAATTTGCCTCATTAATTTGCCTGATTAACTATTTACTCATCGGTCTAGATGTGCAGAATTTAATAAAAGTTATAAATTGAATCTTCAACACAGAAACAAACACCGATGTTGAATATCCTCAGTGATAAATAACACCCGTCCCTGCATTAGTCCTTCAATATGAATAAATATTTGATTATCGGCCCATTCATCTTCACTTGTCCTCGCGCCTACTGGTTACGCTGCAACGAACGGCTATCGTCAACTCTAATGAAGATTGCTCTGCTCTCTCTTGTTCATTCGTTCACTCGTTCGCTGGTCAGTTCGCGTACATTAATATATATCATATATATTTTATATATATTCATTTATATATTAGTAAATTTAGGCAGAATAATTTTATACGTATTTTATAGATATACTTAGAATACCTATACTGGCCCTCTAATGCACCCGCACGCATTTTTCGTGCGCTTTAGGGACTGATGTCATCCTTCACTTCCTGTGAACAATTATTTTTCAAATTCATCAAACTTTACAATTTTTACAATGTTATAGTTTATTTCAGCATATTAAGTATCATTTTTTGGTGTCATATAGCCACGCAGATCTGAGATTGTCCTGCTTGAGAAGCCTCCCCTGATTTATATGTATAAATATTTATCGAAAAAAAATCAAGCCTAAATTTACTGACATTAAACACACAAAAACATGTCCAATTAAAATTAGTCTCGCATGTTAGCTCAACATATCTTGCTTCGAACGACGAGTCAGCTTGCGTCCATCAGCAAACACTGTTTTGTGTAGGCTTGTCAGCAGTTAATTGAACTCGAAAAGGGTATATCAATGAAAGCAGCTCTGGTTAGATTAGAAATGCGTCACAAAGTAATAAATACATAAATGTTATGATGGCCACATCTTCAGAGAGCTGAAAAAAGAACAAATATAAACCCGTTTGAAGAAGTCAGTGATCGTGACCAAACGAGAAACAGGAAAGACTACCTCTTAAATATTAACACCACCACTCGCGCGTAACATGCATTAGTAACTTGACGATTTTTTTAATTTCCCGATTGAAAGTTTGCGAACACAATCCACCGTTGCAAGCCAAAAGTTGTACAGACATTCCATTACAACTGCAGTATGTAAAACATTGAGCGAAGTAACTTGAAAAATCGACGATAAAAAATCAATGTTAGCTAATCAATCGCTAAGTAAAACAGAAAATTATCATACACACAGAAAAATATTTATTTTGAAAATTCATCTAATTTTTCAAATATATACTTAAAAATTCATCAACAAATTAGAGGAAAAATGTTTAAAATGGGTTCAGCTAAATAAATACTATCAGATTTAGCAGCGAGAAAATAAAATTCATTTGTAAAACCAGAATGGCCACAACCGCCGAAAATTAAAAAAATAACGTTTGAAACGTTAAAAAATAATAAAAAGATCGTTTCCAAACAAATCGGATTAGTTTGAAAATTGAATTTATGAAATTCAATTAAATTTGATGAAATTCTTTTATCAGGAATGATACAAATTTTAAAGTAGTTAATTTTCAGCGCAAAATGCACCGGCGTATAATCTGTTACAATTTTTAAATATTTTATCGCACTTTCTATATTTTTTAATAATCCTCGGAATCTTCTGTTCATTGTCGGTCAGCTTTATTATCTACTTTTCTTTTTACGATGCTTTTTCTTTTTCTTTTTTTTCTGCTTACATTTATTCTGCCTTTCATTATACAGATCACCTTTCATTTTTACATCATCAATAACTTTAATTGCAACATATTTGTCGTCACCTTTCACACGATCATTTTTCACTTCATAATCATCAGCTTTCCTATTTTTTCCACCATCACCACCAGCTTTATTTCTTTCATCATCGTCACTTTTGCATGTTTTACCGACACCTCTACTTTTTTCCATACCATCGCCATCTTTACTCTTTTCACCAGCACCACTTGCATTTTTATTTTCAACACCTGCCACAGTTTTTTTAGCATCGGTTTTTACGTTCAACTTTTTATTATCAACGCTGCTTGTCGTGTTCTTATCCACAACAAGATTCATTCTTTTAGGACTAACATGATGTGAAGGTTGATGATCTTCAAACTTTCTTTTGCGAGAGAGAAGGTTTTCGTGAAACTTGCGTGGATTAAATTCGATGCTCATCTGGGAATGTTGGCCTGAAACTTGTTTATGATTCCATTTTTTATGTTGGAAGTTTAAGTTGTTCTTATCTACAGCTGTTGGAATAAAATGAATAAATAGAATCGATAAATCAATGAACATATGAATGAGACAATTGATGAATAAATTTATGTTTTCCTACATCTCTCCACTTAAACAAAATGCGTTGGAATAATGCAAAACCCATGCAGCTGGAAGGAAGAAACGTGGGACTGGTCGAAAAGCGGATGCATTGTGTGTACATAACACGTGCGCGCATGTGCGGGCTCAGCATCTGATTACATAACGTCTGCATGCTATCAAACCATTATGAACGCTGATAATCTTTTAAAAAATCAACTTTGTGCCAAATAAAATACGCCATGCAGCAACAACAAAGAACATTTTAATAGACAGATTTAAACATTTATACAAGTATGTCAAGTCCTGAAAAATAGTAGGATAAATTAAAACACCTAAAAACCAGCAAAATTATAAAATAAAAGTAAATCTCCAAGACGAATGAAATAGGGGATAAATAAGGAAACACATTGACGACGAACCAGCAAAACCGTACTGCACGTTTGGTAGGTCGCATTCCAACAATGTTTTTAAAGTTAGCTTCTCACCGCTATCATTCAGCCACATGTCTCTCATGCTCGTCAGCACCAATCCAAGCAAGCTCTTCTGCAGCCAGTCTCTGCTGCTCACCTTCCAGCAATCTTTTTCCCATCCAACTGCAGTTGTCATAAAATTTATAATGCGCATTTCTGTTATTGAGCAGTAAAACATTTAGGAATTGATAATAATGTGTAGCACAATTTCAAATACAATCATCTAAAATCGCATTTTCTGTTTCGCCAAATTTAATTAACTGTTGGATGATAAATGTTCTTGGCCCAATATTTGACAAAAAAAATTTCGTTTTGTAAGTATAAAAAAAGTTAACCTTGAACGCCACTACCCAAATCTTCATCTGCATCGTGGAACACCAGAATTGTGTTCCTCGTCATCAGCAGTTGGGAGAGAAGGTGCGGGTTTTGCCGAAACTGTTCGAAAGATTACGAGGGGTAGTTAGTTTTAAAAATAACTTTTTTACTTTAACAAATGACATCTCTCAGGTTGTTAGCTATTCAGAGGCATGCAACATATTTTAGATTAATAGATAGTTTCTAAATTTTTTAAAATTTAGTATTAGGTTACAAAATGTTTATCTTCACTTGAAAAATTTAAGTTTCAAGGCACTCAGTTCACAGCAACGACAAATTATCACTTAATTAACATTTTTATTCACTCCTATCTCAAATCGCCAGTTCAAACGAACAAACAACAGATTCTTATTAAATCTTTTGCCCAGAATAGCTTCATTGAAACGTATTTGTTTTTTAACGTTCCCAACCACAAAGTGCATTTAAAAAAAAACATAATAAAATAGGTGCCAGTGTAGTTTGCTATCAGAGAAGATACATATGTGAAATAAATTTTTACCACAAACGTTATAACTCGTTATACCATCAATTGCCATAGATGAAGAGATTAAATTGTTAATAGAAACGTTTCGAAATAATAATTTTTGGCGCATTGTTGAAGATTAACGAAACCAAATTAAAATAGTGATAGACGAACTGCACTCTCAAAAAAACATCGCCATGCAAGCAAATGTCTTCACCCGATGTTAACTGATCAAATACATTGTATTGTACTGCCTGTGCGACGTAGCTATCTTACACCCGTCCTATGCATTTATACAGTGTTTGTTAAAAACTAAAGCTATTAAGATCTTTTCAAAAATCGTTCAACACATGTAGAGATATCATTGTATCTGTCTTGAAATTGAAAAAAGTTTATAGTAATAGATTTTGCATTAGGTGTTATTTAAAATAATCGCGGCTGTGGAAACAAAGCGAGATACGTATCAAAAATTAAAAATCAGTTACAAATAAATAAATAAATATTTACCTTGTGATAATTTCCAGTTTTAACAAATTTTTCCAAATTCAATTTCCATCCTTGATTGTTGAAATTTTTATTGCTGTAGGCCAGTTTACGAATTTCGTTGTGGTCGATACACTTCAAGATATTTTCAGCCAACTTGTCACATTTTGACTGAACTGCAAACATTATCAAACCATGTTTTGTTCAAAAATATAAATAAATCAACACACAGCCATAAAAAAACAAGACAAAGAAAATATTAGCACAATCTTATCATGCATATAATATGCATCGACTATAAAACAACAGAGCATTTTGCCATTTGAACGTAAAAAAGCTTGAAATTTCACATTTGAGAAGCGAACGTGAAACGCAACACATTCACATTATAATTACTAAATAAGAACGGGAGTTACAAATAATGAAAGATGAAATTTCAAGATATTCAGTCTACTGGCATAGAACTGTTTAATTTGAATTTCCCTCAATTTGTATTATCTAACATTAAATTAGTTCATAACTGTTAACATTAAAAAAGATTTACCGATGTTATTTGCATGAGTAAAAAATTGGCGACAACGATGGTATGAATGGAGGATCTCACTTGCATACTGGTGCATTAAATAGTGCTGCAAACTGATGTAGCAGTGCTGGCCAACTTTAAATGGAGATATATGAGTTGGTGCAAAAGGGGAAGATGATCTGAAAAATCCCGTGTAACCGTAATAAACCTGTTTGATGCTGCCGGTTTGGCAGCTAAAAAACCTTTCTGAATAAGTTTTATCTGAAAAATCTTCATCTCTCAATTTAGTTAATTCCTCCCCGAGCCAATTCTGACCACGCCACCAATTTCTCTTGAGAACGAGATAATTATCAGCTTCCAAGTTGATGCCCCACAGAGCATCCTTAGGGCTGGCTTCCACCAATGTCGTTCCTCGAGTCGATAACAATATCTGCAGCAGCTCTTCATTCTGGGAAAACTTTTTAATTGAATATATATTACTAACAAATGATGGACAGTTACAGTTTCAAACAATTTCAAAAACAAAAGGGGTTCAAAAATGTTTGTAAATAAGTGCTTTTATAAAAATTTTAAAAAATTAACCTTGGCGAAATTTGCCTTTCTGACAATTTGCCTACTGATGGCATCCCACTTGTTCCTATCAAAACCAGCAACTTTTCTTCCTAAACTTTTCTGCGCTATTGGACTGCAGCTCTTCATTATATTAAATATTGATCTCTGGTCACCAAATGTGTCTAGAAAAAATCATGTTAATATCTCTAAAGGCTTCCTACCAAAAATCATAACTTTCATCTTGTAATTATAATGTTTGTTGATTATAATAGTTATGATGTTAAGATATATTATTATCACCATCAGCAAATGGTAAAAAATACAAACAAAATAATAAGTTAACTAACCAGCCTTCTTAAACATATAATATTGTTCAGCACAGTTGAAGGTCATGCCATCCAGTTCAAAGGTCACAGGGTAATGTTGACTGAACGGAGACTCGTATCTCCAGAAATATGTAAACTTTTCCTGCAGTGTTTTGCATATTTCCAACCAGCAATCTGTAGCATGGTTTTAATTACAAACTTTCACAAATTGTACTGTATAAAAAAATCATATCTATCATAATCTACCATAAAAAATTAGAATCAAAATGATAAAATTATATATTGCTTATAGATACGAATATGTATGCACAATATAATTATCATCATCATCATCATCAATGGCACTCAAGCCTGGCAGGCAGAACCGCCCAAGTGTTTGTTCCAGTGTTCGAAAATATGGTATAAATTAGTACAAAACAATGCACATATTATTTTTATCACATTTATAAAGTGCAAACTAATTACCAACTTGTATTGATTTGAGGACGTTTAAATTCATTAGGCTGTTTCTTATGCCAATTTTGAGTGTGGTGATGATATAGGCGATCAGTACCACTGCCGCTATAACCACCACTACTACTACTACTAAAACTACTGCTACCTTGCTTTGTCTCCTTCGTGAACGATGTTGAACCGCCATCACCGGCAAACGGATACTGACGGTTACATTTGTTTACGTTCATCTTACGACCAGCAAAATAAAAATAAACATTAATTAGTAAATTGGCAAAAGATCTGACACAAATTAAACAATCGGCTGATCTGAAGTGAAATTGTGCTGAAGTGTGCTTTTTAAATAACAAGCAGAGAATATCCACCATGGACGTTGCATCCACATTACATGATTTATGATTGTATAAAGCGTATTACTAATTAAATATATTAGTATCACTATCGCTAGAAAGTGAAAGTGAGGCTGTCGGAATTACCAGACAAAACATTTATTTTTTTTTATTAACCAGGAATGTGCGTACAGTTTACATTTCTAATTTTTAAGACCAAAATATATTCCTACACTTGAAGGCACAAATTAAAAAAAAACAAAAACTTAATGTCTCAATAAATTACTTTTACCCAGAATTAATGCTACAAATCTACCGTGAAGCAATTATAACCAAATTAAAACGTTTGATTGCATTTGAAAAACAAATCACCTCCAGTGCTAATATTGGGAATTTCAGCATGGAATAATTGCGATTCTTATTGAGTTTAATTCAAGATCAGTTAACGCACTTTCCCACTGCAGAGCTTAATGTTGTATATAAAGAGTGCAAGTAAGTAAGCATGGGCACATCGGCGTAAGAAAGGTAGTGTGTCCCAATAGATATATATGCCCCTATATTAATAAATTATATCTGGTTGATCATATCTCTCCGCTGCTGTGTATTTCGTTCATTCAAACTAAAGGCTAAGTCTGAATAAAAATATTATTTTTATTATTATATATATATATAACGATTTATGCCCGTTCAAATCCAATCACTTTAGTTCAATTCCTATAAATGTAATCAGATGGCTTGGCTCATTCAACCTCGTTATAAAAATTTAGAGATGCCCAGAGATATCAGGACAGGAACATCTTAAAACGTGAAAAATGAACTGTTGTTTTAAATTTATGAAAAAAAATGGAAATAAATAAAATAATCTAAATAAAAAAAACCAATGATTTTTGGAGGCACATTGTCTACATTCAAAGTGACGAGCGTGAATGAACAAATAATTTCGTTTATCAAATAAATAATCAATTTAATGACAAAAAACGATAAGCGATAACGATAAATAACGATAAGTGAGTATCTACGTGATGTCAATCCATCGTTAAATATATATTTAAAAGGCAAACCATTAAAAATATTTATCCAAAAAAACTAATAAAATAAATTGAAATGATCAGAGAAATTTCCCTCTTAAGTTCATCAGAATATTTTCGCTCAATCTTGCTAGGTCGGGATCTCTTCTAAAGTTTTGTACTATTTGAGCACATCCAGACTTTGTAAGTTCCTTCACAGCATTCTTGTTTTGTGACAGCTGGGACAAAGGTTTAATAAAATCAATATTAAGTCGATAATAAAGTCAATATCATGTTACATTATTTTAACAATAATATATAATATGACCAAAACAGAACAACTTTGAATATTCCAAAAATTTGTTTGCGGAATAAAAACGTTTTGAACCAAGATGAAAACTCACGACTAATTAATTATAAAAGATATTACATAAAGTTATTTGTAAATCAAACCAATTGATCGTAGGCAGTTGTCAGTGCTTGCTCCGCCAGATGTCCATCAACCCACTGCATGTTCTTCTCCTCACTGCTCTCCTCTCCCCCATCACTTCCCTTAGTCTTTATCAATCTCGCTCTCAGCTTGAGAACTTTCAGAACGATAGTGTCTTCCCTCAAACATTCTCCCATTACCTCTTCTTCATTTTCAAACTCTAACAATTTAGTATAATTCATGTTAGATCGTTTTTGAATACGCAACCTCATGGTACCTGATTGTTTAATGCTATAAATACACACGCACGCACGCACACACGCACACACAAACATACACATACACACAAATATACTTTGAAGCCCAGATTGTTTAATGCTATAAATACACAGATACGCACACACACAAACACACACACACATAAATATACTTTGAAGCCGTTGTATTTTTATTCCAATTCATCATGTAAATTTATTAGAAATAGAACGCTAACTATCCAAATTCATCAAGCAGATAGGCATATTTCAATTTTTCATTAATCATCTGCACTAATATATATATAATTATAATTATATATATATATATATATATATATATATAATTCAAATGTTGCGTCCTGCGAACCTGCATGTTTGTAGACCAAGTAATGAAGTGCTGAAGGAAACATTTTGCCATCAATAATTATTTTGGAGTTAGTCATTAAAGAAAATAAACTTCCTTGTTCAATTTTATATCCTGAAATTTAAAATTAAATATCATTACCCATCTAAGACAAATAAATAAATAATGACCATCTATTTAAAATTGCTAGGTATAACATAAACGATTTTAAAAACCTTTTTGTTCCCTTGCAACATTCCTCTTGCTGTTGTTTTCCATGCTTTCCACTGCTTGGTGGGTACCACCATTGCTCTCCTCATCGTTTGCGACCTTGGCGTTGTTATCTCTCCCTCCTTTGCCACGATCACCTTTCAAATTTTAATTCCTATCACATTTAAATCATTTCAAAAAAGATAAATATATATATATATATATATATATATATATATATATATATATGTATATGTATAATATGTATATGTACACCATTTATTTAAAGTAAACTTTTGACGTGCGATGCTTCGCTTAGCAAATGTAAATTTTAATATGGATTAAAAATTAAAAAAAGGTCAAAGACCAATCTCTCAGATGCAATAAAATGAATTAAAATACAAGCTGGAAAAAAGCTCTAAAAAATATACGGAAACTGGCAGTGGCCAACTTCAGAAGTTTAGATCATTATAACCGTCTGATTTATTTTTATTTTTGAATTCATTTGACCAACTATAACCATCATCAACAATTGGAATGAAATGACATACCGTTATTGTTTATATTTTGCTGCTCTTTGACAAGCGAACGTTGTTGATAGTTTTGTTGTTGTTGTTGTTGCTGCTGCTGTTGTTGTTGTTGCTGTTGTTGCAAGTGTTTCTGCATGTCTTGCTTCTGCATATCGTTGGCCGGTTCCACTACCATATGCAATTTATCATGAAAGGCTTCATGTGAATTATGTTGTTGCAAATGTAGCAGATCTGGAGGATTTTGTTGAGAATCTGAAATATGTTGTTGATGGTGAGATGTTGATTGTTCATGGCAATGTTGTTGTGGAAAGTTTTGTTCTAGTTGCTGGTTATAAAGTTGTGGATGTTGATGCGGTTGGCAGTAGTTTTGTTGTAGTTGTGAATCATTAAGTTGTTGATGTTGAAATGGTGATTGTTGGTCATTCTGTAGTTGGTGTTGAAATGGTGAACATTGGTCGTTCTTTTTTTGTTGATGATCATTTAGTTGTGGCTGTTGATGTTGATGTGATAATTGGGAAAAATCTTGCTCTATCTGTTGAAAATGTTGATACAACGGTTGTTGTTGTTGCTGCTGCTGACTACTTTCAGTTATCTGGGTTGCTTGAATTTCATCAACTTTAACATTTTCATTGCTCGGTTGGCCGTGATGTTTGACAGATGACTTTTGAGACAGAAACTGATCCGACGATCGTTTTTTGTGGCTGTTGTCATCATTCCATTTTTTCACATCAGTCTGGCATTTGTACTTGTTCCTCTCGTAACCTTAATTGTAACGTTCAAATACTTGTGTATAAAATCTAATGGAATGTGTCAATACAAATTTATTAAAACCAGTCAATTCATTTTAAGATTAAAGAATTCAAAAACATACGAACTTGAGTTGTTGTGGGCAGACCTGTCGAAATTAGTGTGAAGAGGAGTTCTGTAATTTGGGTTGTAGTGAGATTTCGGACGCTCATTTGGGTGAAGGTTGTCCATGAAGGATTTGTTAAGGTCGAAAACATTTCGATAGAGCCATTTTTTTATATGGAACGAATAGTCCAACGAGTCAACAGCTGAAATGCAAATAGCATTGTATATATATTAACTAACGCCGAACATGCTGTGATTTTCATCAATAATTGCATTTCTGATATATATATATATATTTATATATATATATATATATATATATATATATATATATATATATTATAAGATGACAGCAAAGGAACACTAACCAGACAGATTGTAGCGATATTTGGAAATATCCTTTTGCAGCAGCGTCTCCAACGTTACACTCCCTCCCCACTCCCGACAACCTCCCTGCACCAACCAGGCATCTCTCAGGTAGGTCAGCACGAAGCCTAGCAGGTTCTCTCCCGTCCATCGAGAACTGTCACAATGAGTTTCTTCGCTTCGAACTGAGCAGGAAAATTTTGAATTATTCGTTTAAAAAAAACATTCAAATCCAAAACATTTAGCAGACTTAAATAATTGCTGTACAAAAATTCATGTTTTGCAGAAAAAGTTTTTCGTATTTGTTAAGGTTTTTAAGACAATGAAGATGTTTCCTAAATAATTGTTAAAACTTCAATAGTTTTACAATATTTTGCGAAACAACAGTTCCCTTTAATATGCATTTAAACTCTACCTACAACAACTCTTAACCTTCTTGTAACCTTATCATTGCTTATCTTCGTTTCTTTCAATCGTTTAAAGCATTCAGAAACAAACTGGTGTCGTCATAGCACGCATCAATTGTTCCATTGTAACGCACATCATAAACGTTTTGGTCTTTCTATAGTTCAAAACCGATGTCAGGTCAAAATCAGTTTTCATGGTGATCATAATCTTACTGTCATTTGATTTCTTCCATAACCTTCCCTCATCTCATAGCGTGGATGACAATATTATTTCACCTTTGAGAGTTTAAATTTTTGCCCAGCACCTGGATTAAAAAATTATAAAATCCTCTTTTCATGGATCATTCACCAGCTTTCCTACCAGATTTACTACTTCTTCCTAATTTTATTTAACACTCGTCTGGTTTTACACACAAAACATTTTCCGGAGCCTTCTCAAAATATTTCATGAAGAAGTTAGTCATGAATCACTCTCCTGTGGTATTTTTATGCTTACTTTACACCATTTCTATCATTTTCAGGAACTATTAATTCCTTTATTTTTAAATTTAAAAAATGAAATGAATGAATGAATGAATGAATGAACGAACGAACGAACGAACGAACGGACGAACGAACGAACGAATAAAATGAAAATGTCGGTAAAATACCATTAACGCCGTTGCCCATAATTCGGTCGTCGTCATCGTAGTAAACGAAGATGGTGTTGCGTGTGCTGAGCAGTTGCGATTTCAGCTGAATATGCTCACTGAACTAATCAAAAATTTAAAAAAAATACTTACACTAATTCATTAATTAAATTTTCAAAAAAATACAACAATAAATAATTGATTAATTAAAACAATTCATCACTAAGATTATCTCTCCATATTCAGCGAGTTAGCTCAGTCGGTAAAAGTGCCATGTGTCGCGCTGTTATCAAGCGATGGCATGGTTCTGATACTGTCTGTCTGTCTGTCCGAGACTCAAAGACTGACATAGGCGCATGATGCGGCGCTTGCGTGTGTATACGTATTGTGTTTGTGTGTCGTGTTGTGTGGGTAGTTACAGCCTTTACATTACGAAAGTTTAGTTAACAATTTAGTACACAATAGTAACATGTAAGCAGATCTGCGTTTAACGGAGCTGCATTAAAATAAAAAATATTTAAGCGCTATATAACGGATTAGTATCACAAATTTAATAAATTATAAAAATAAATTTATTAATTGAAAATACTGAATGAAAAAGTACTTTGTAATAATTCCCAATCAGAATTAAATCCTTCAGTTTGTTCTTCCATTCATTTTCATCAAAGTTTTTTATCTTATAAGCTAAACGGATATTCCATCTCTGATCGAAACTGTTCAAAATCTCACTTGCAACTTTCTCGTTTTTGAACAGAACTGTTCAAATGAAATTTCATTTTTCAACTAAATCACTAGAGTCATTCGAAATTACGTATCAATGATACTTTATAAAAATTATTACGTGGTATTATATGATTGAAAACAAAAAAGCATTTAAAATGAAATTAATCAACAACTTCCCAAATAAAAATCAAAAAATCGAAAGATAGAAGGAGGTCAATTAAAGAGCATAGATAACCTGCAGATTGGTGCATCAAGTAATGCTGCAAACTGATGTACGAAAGACCGCGAACTTTGAAAGGAGTGATATGCCAAGGACTGAATGGTGAAGAGGTCCGGTGAATGCCAGTGTAACCTACGTATTTATTTATTTCACATGGACTTGTTAAACTACCAGCACTATCCAGGTAAAAAAAATTTTCAGAATAAAGTTTTTCTTTAAAATCTTCATCTCTCAATTTAGTTAATTCCTCCCCGAGCCAATTCTGACCACGCCACCAATTTCTCTTGAGAACGAGATAATTATCAGCTTCCAAGTTGATGCCCCACAGAGCATCCTTAGGGCTGGCTTCCACCAATGTCGTTCCTCGAGTCGATAACAAAATCTGCAGCAGCTCTTCATTCTGGGAGAACTTTTAATTTCAAGCTAATTTTTAACTGTGCTTTTGAACTAGAGACTAAGAATAATATTAGAAACCATTTTCTAACTAACAGCACATGAAATATTATCATTTACAACAAAAACAGCTTGCCAGAAAGATATGATCAGCAAGTAAAACAATTACGTTGATTTTGGCTTTTGTTTCAAAATGTAAGTAGACATTTCATAAATTTTAATATAACAACAATGATTTTAATTTTAGTTCTTCAGAATATAAATATGTAGATCTGATGAAAGTCACAGACGTCAGACAACATTAAGATAGATTGAGAATTTGACGATAGAATGAACAGACACTGAAGAGAGCAACATGACAGAGTATGAAGCTAACTTCTCAGTGCAACTTAGAAAAAGTACAATCCCAGAAGTTTTCATGTCACAATTATTTACGATAATAATCAACAAAAATATAACAATATTTGATTTATAAAATAATGATAATAAAACAAACTTTAGCATAATTGCCTTTTCTGACAACAGCTCTACTGATTTTATCCCAAACCTCTTTATCAAAACCAACCACCTTCCTCCCAATACTCTTCTGCTCCATTGGCTTACAACTCTTCATTATTTCCAACATTGAATTCGTATCATCAAAATGTTCTGTCGTGGGATGCCAGAACAAAAATAACGTTAGATTAATTGCTTAATTGATTAATTAATTGCTACAAATAAATCATGTTTTTGGAAATTAAAATTTATAAATAAAGTTGATCTAACCAGCCTTCTTGAACATATAATATTGTTCAGCACAGTTGAAGATCATGCCATCCAGTTCAAAGGTCACAGGGTAATGTTGACTGAACGGAGACTCGTATCTCCAGAAATATGTAAACCTTTCGTGCAGTGTCTCGCATATTTCCAACCAGCAATCTTTGAAACGAAATTAATAAAGTCAAGTTCTAGAACATTTTTACATTTTTCATTTTTATTGTTAAGAAAAAAGAAATTAAATATAAAAAAGTTAAAGCCTATGACAAGTGCACTCTTCCTAACTTCATAATCAATTAAACGACAAATCATACAGAGGAACCCTTTTGTTGTATAATCGAACCCGGTGACTGCAAATACTGTGAAACTGCAACAGGCGACCTTAACAACCAGGCCACCAATCCGCCCATAGTGAAACATAAGGAAAGTTAATATAGTGACCTGTTTTAAAATAGGTTTCTTTATTTTTTGTTTTGAATGATTCGTAGTTGACTGAACTTTCAGCATGAACATCATCTGGTAACAAATTTCCATTCACAAACTGACCCCGCACCTTCAATGGGAAAATATATTTATTTGCATATGTGTCAATCAGTATAATATTCTAATAACACTTCAATCAAATCCGTACCATATCAAATTCTTTTGAAAAATTATAATTTATGGGTTAAATTTATAATATAAATTATTTAAAAGTTGGAAATATGGAAAAACAGATGCTCGCCTTCATCAATATCTTGCCCAGAAAATTTTTGCCCTTCCAGTTTGCTTCACTTCTGGCCTGTGGGTTCTGCAGTTCTCTGAATCCAATTCCCAAGAAGAGATTCTTCCCATGAAGATATCCTAGGGTGGCTGTCCCAGTCTTCAGCAGTTCTGATCTGATCTTTTCATTCTGTCTGAACTGGTTTCAACAAATGAAGAAATGTAACAAACTCAGCAATAAAACACATTAAAAATTTAATCCATGTAGTCCTACCTGGGCCATGATTACATATTCCAGTACCATCTCATCATCTGTCTTTGCATTATAACTCAATAAGCTATCAAGTTTGTGCAGGTCAGCCAAGTTTTTGGCATTGTATATCTTTTCTCTCAGGTCGTGATTGTTGGCTGCATTTTTCATTATTCAGTCAATATTATGATTATTCTATTAATAACATAATTTAATTGGAACAATAATTATTCAAGTATTATTATATTATTAGTAGAATAACTAAATTTTATTAAACTGTCTTATATTTATTTAAACATATTTAATTATTTCTCAATTCAACTATTTATTCAAAAACCTTATTATTATTTACATCCTCTTACTTGTTTTAAAATAATACAAGTACTGTCGATACCCCCAGAATCTTTTATTATCAATCGTGAATGGATATCCTTCCTTCGTGACATCATATGAGAACTCATCACATGGAAAACACAAAACTTTAGAGGACATCGCGAAGAACAGAAAATCTGAATGTAACTTTAAATATAAATAATAATACATTTTTTCAACTAAAATATAAATAAAAAAATATAAATATGAATAAGTATATAAATATACATTCAAGAAATAAAAGTCATCTGATCTAAAATTGGGCAACCAAGTATTTGAAGCACTACCATTGGCTGCTGAGAAAAATGTGTAAGTTTTGTCACAATGTTCACGAAACAAGTGAAATAATTAGAACAGACGGTCTACAATTATAAAACTTGTATCGATTCATTTACATACTTTCATTCGAATTCAAATTATTGCACAGTATTATGACATTGAATAAAGTTAAAATGTACAAGTTTGAGACAGATGAAGATATATTATTTTACTGAATCAATAAATGCATGAAATTACTAATAGCTCAATATTTCAATCTTTTTGAACAGTAAATCTGAGAATGACATAGACTGAGAATATTTAATAATAATAATAATGTTCTGTTCCCACATACGTACAGACACAGCAACGTTATATTATTTACTTTATTTTCATTTTAATGACATGACATGACATGATATGAGAGCCTACCTTACTTGGTACCAGCCAGCAAACTGACAAACATTAAAAAATCAATAATATTATAAAATGCATTACAACAACTTTTAATGGCAAATTAGTGTCACTAAGCTAAAACCTACCTAACTGCTACATAAAATCAAAATGCCGGTGTTGCTGACCTTCACTGTTCTAACGTATATGACATCCATTTAAATCACCAAGTCTTACTGTTTCTTGAGTATTACATCTATCAATCTATTCATTCATTCATCTATCGATCTATCCATTAAATTAATCAATCTATCCATCCATTGCTTTGTTTGATCCATCTCTATAAAGTATAGTCTATACACATACAAAAATACATACATCCACGCATTCAACTATTTTCAGATCACGCCTTTGCCAGCATATTTATTTCACTAAATAATACCAGATAAAATTAGTCCACAAATTTATTCTAATTGACTACTAATCAAATCACATCATGATCCACAACGCTTTAATAATTAAATTTAATTTAATTAATTAATGCAATATTATTAATTATGTATCAATAAAAAATTCACTAAATATATTTAAACTAACAGGACAGTTAATTAAAATGTCGAAATACTCACCTCAGCAAAGAGAATGAAATGCGAATCAGAAAAATTTCAACCAAAACTCCTTCTAGCACAAATTTTCGTTTCGTGACGGTGACTCAAGTTTGGTTTCACTTTCTTATTTCTAAAATTAAAAATTAGGGATGCACCAACATTCGAATATTCTGACAATGGTTAGATTCGGCTCACATATATATATATATATATATATATATATATATATATATATATATATATATATATATATATGTAGAATAACAAATATTTTAGTTAAAATCGAAGTTTGAAAAGTTAAAAGTCTAATACTAAAACGTTAAACGTTAACAGCGCCCTCCGTGTAAAAATATTCTAAAGTTTTTATAATCATTTGCTAAACTTAAAATCTTGGTGTTTGGCTTGGCTCCTAATTTTTTATTGTCCTGTCTTGCCTTTAATCATCCTCGAATATGTTTCCTCCAGTTAACTCTGTCCTGCGTCTTTCTCTACAAATGTTTCACAAGCTACAACTACAAAAGCTAATTACGACTACTAAGGGAACGAACTGTGATAACATACATAATGAAATAAATAGTTAAACATGGTTTCATATAGATAAATAATAAATTGATCAAACAAGTTCATGAAGGTACACGCTGAATTAAATTATTTTAATATTATACATTAAAGTCTTGAAGAATATTTTATAAAATCAAAATTATGACATATATTATTATTTTAGATTCATAAAATTTCGTGATGGCGAGTTTGTTTATTTTCAGATGATTTACTAAGCAAGCATGCTTTGGCAAGCTCCATAAATAATTTTACTAATATCAAAATTGAGTTGGTCAATAATTGTTATGCGTGATGAGGAAGTATGTGTGTGTGTGTTCGATGTGTGTGTGTGCTTGTGTCTGTGTGTGCTTGTGTTTGTGTGTGTTATATGGCATAGGTGCATGCACTTATATGAAAGTCACTCAGTAAAATGCACTTGTTATGATGGTGAAGTGGTTACAATATATTTAGTTTAGTCGAAACTCGTTTATACGTCTACGTTTAAAAAAATTCATTTTAAAAAAATCAATAAACATTTTTTAATTAAAAATTAAAACTTAGAAATAAAAAAAGTAATTAAAAAAATTCGAAGACCATTTAAAAATTGAATTTTCGTGAATTTTTAAACTGTTTTTCCAATACTACCGTTGTTTTTGTAGTTAATTAAACAGTTTTAGGAAAAAAAATTTCAGAAATAGTTACTTATAACGATAGGAAATATTTGAACGTAAAGTGAAGACGATCTCATGTCTGCTAAATAACTCCTCCATAAACTAGTAAGTCGGACATCATTTTAACATCATCATGTGATTTCAACTTCACCACATAATGCTGTCATATCATCATCACATCACATTACTACATTTTCACAACATATTTTTCATCATAACAACATTTATTCATGTCACTATTATAAGCTTATTTGAAATTTAGCCACAAGTTGGTTTATTTTTTTAGAACGATTTCGAAATGTTCAATCAATCTCAACGCTCTAACTTCCACAAATTTGAGTGAGATTTTATCCATTTATGATTATAATGACGATTGTGATAACGATGGAAATGATGGTGATGATGATGATGATAATGATGATGACGACGACGATTATGGTGATGATGACGACGACGATGATGATGATGATTGTTGCAATGATTATATACGGTTATGCTTTGATGATAGTATCTTGCTATAATGTTGGTGATAATGCTCATGAGATGGTGAATTTTAAAAAGTTCATGCGACTTTTCTTAGCCCAGTATGTTTATAACAGTCTAGCGATGAGATATAATGTTATCACACTGAACAAAAAATTTATCGTGGGAGGTCGAAACGTCCCCGCCTACCTGCCTGAACATTTAATGGTGATCACAGTCCAATATTCAATTTCTGCTGCAGACAAGCGGAACTGTAATTGATAAGTTCGAGTGGTGGCCCATTAAAGACTCATCGCTACACAAACAACAACCACACACACACACACACACACACAGAGAGAAAGAGAGAGAGAGAGAAAGTGAAAGAGAGAGAAAGACACACACACAGAGGCCTGCATACATCATGCAAGACACTCAAGGACGTCCAACATATGGCACATAAAAACGTCGATGCTTCCCAACATGCATTATCAGCCGGTCGTCAACGTACTCTCTTGGAGGCTCCAGGCAATGTCAGCCTGCAATTACTCGAGCACTTTGATTCTGATAAACAAGATGTTGTTACATGGGAAAATATGGAAGACCTTGAGCCTTTTTGACTTATTTTGTATAATTTGGGTTTATAAATGTCATTTGAGAGTTTATACAAATTTGTCTACAATACATATCGAAGAGATAATATTTTAAAAAATGAAAAGATTTTATAGTTTCAAAAAAAAAGTAAGTTTATGAAAGATTTATTCATTGATGTTGTACAGTACACCACGTTGTTGTACACATTATTGTACACATTGCTGTTGTTGGGCAGAGCGTACATACATTTATTTATTCATTTATTCTTTCATTCATTAATTCGTTCACTCATTCATTCGTTCGTTCGTTCATTCGTTCGTTCATTCATTCAGTTGACAACATTATTTTGTTGTCGATTAGGTCGAGTTATTGATTATTATCCCTGTCAGTAGTGCCACTCATCTGTTGTTCATTCATTCATTCGTTCGTTCGTTCGTTCATCCATTCATTCATTTTTCCATTCATTCATTCATTTATTCATTCATTCATTCGTTTGTTCGTTCGTTCGTTCGTTCATTCATTCATTCATTCATTCATTCATTCATTCATTCATTCATTCATACATACATACATTCATGCATCTATCCTCCCATCTACCTGTCTTTCCACACTTTCCCTCTCTATCGCAATTCGTTGCCCGACATACAGGAATGATGATATATTTACCTAACCCACTTGTATGTTATTGCTTAGACTCTAAGCCTTAGAGGACGATAGGACGATTGTGATGGGACATGGTGGGATGTGATGGGATGGAATGGTTTGGGATGTGATTGAATTGGATGGAATGTAATGTGATTTGATTGAATGGGATGGAATGGGATGTGATGGAATGGGATGTGATGGAATGGGATGTGATGTAATCTGATGGGATCTGATCTGATGGGATGTAATGCACGCAGATTACAGGATTCCAACAAACATTATACACACGCCTACTGCTATAATAATAATTAAATAAAAAAATAATAACAAATAATAATATCAACATTAATAAACACAAGCAATTAAATAGTAAAAATAATAGCACAAATAACAACAACAACAAAAGATAATCTTCGGGCCATCAACTTAACACCGTCATTATCATTACATAAAAGTATTATTGTATTTGTATATTTTTAACAGTGCGCGCGCGCGTGTGTGTGTGTGTGTGTATGTGTGTGTGTGTGTTGGTGTGCCTGTGTGTGTGCGTGTTTTAATCAGGGAGTTGGAACCTTACGAAGGGCTGGAGTCGGATATTTTTCATCCAAATCCGGAAAATGTTACGAATTGTAAAGAAAAAAATCATTTTTTATTTTGAAAATATTTTTTATGATTTTTTTAGAATATAAATGTGTAGCGATATGCAATCGTTTTTGTTACTAAAAAATAAATACTAATAATGTGAATAAAATTATTAGTATGCTTTAAAACGTAAATGCGGTGTTGTTTTACTGAAAAAAATAATTACGTCGACTGATTTAGCTGTGATGATAAGATGGAATTATGATGAAAAAGTTGAAAATTTTTTCTCGTAGTGGGAGTCTGAAATTTTTACCAAAAGTCGGAATTGGATATTTTAAGAAGCTGTCAATCAATTTCAGCTCGGCTC